TCGCTTTGCTACATTTTTCAGGTTATATTATGGGGAAAAAAAAAAAAAAAAAAAAAACACGACTTTATATACAATTTCACAAAAAATTTTTACATATGTACAAAATTCATAACTTTATGTAACGTTGTAGGGTTTCCTTTACTTCAACTATTGTATTATTCAAATTTGTATTCCTTTCCTGAACTCCTGAACGTCTTCCCGCATTTCCTCGTCAGGATGTAAATTTAAAGTTAACTAAATGGGTGAATCTTGGAGTTTATTCAGAACGTGTTTTCGCTAGCAAGCGCGCGTTTCGTTTCGGTCCTTTCTGTTATGCTCATACGTCTCTTAATCAATTTGAATAATTATCACGCCTGTTAGGTTTGTCGAGTCAACCTAGCTAGCCGTAACTTAAAAATGCTAATCCAGCACTCTCTTCTCTTAAAGTCTTGAATGATATGTGTTACAAATTCATAGTTTCCACCACAACTTTTCGGTGTTATTGTAAAGCACGAAGTTCGTGCCTTTTCTATTCATAGTTGAAAATAATAAAGCGTTATTTTCACCCTTCCTCTGTGCTGGTATTATTTCACGTCGGTGCGAGAAATCGCTAGGTTCATTAGTAGGATCTAGATTAGTTTATGTGGTCTAAGAGAAATAGATGCTATAACCTGATACAATAAATTTGTAGTTCGCGGCAGTGACATTAATTTATTTATTACTTAAAAATCATAGTAGAAGAATTAACGATAAAATTACTTGAATATACATTTTATTTTCATATAAATTATTTACAGGTTAAGAGATTTGTGTGATAATTACGGCAGTTTTCTTTCTCTTTTCTCCTCTGCAACTAAACTCAAGTTAATGGGACTATGTTTTGAAATAATTTTATACTGGACGAGATACGTCAATACAATTTCAAGCATTCAAACTAGCTAACAAAAAATAATTTCAAGCGTTAAAACTAGAAGAAAACATAAATTCAATTACTTTTATAATCATTAAATTGAAAAATTTAAATAAAAAACTACGAGACAAAGAAGAATCAAATATGAGTTATTTCTTATACAGCTGTAACAATGTCAATAAAATAAATTACATTTCAGAGTTGTTTACTTGCTAATAAATTACATTTCAGAGTTGTTTACTTGCTAATAAATTACATTTCAGAGTTGTTTACTTGCTAAAAGTCATCTAGTTAAAAGCAGTTGCTTTAGAAATTTTAAAAAAATTCTTTTTTAGAGGTTGAAAAAACTATCATTTAGTCATTTGAAATGTAATAAGTGATTCTATTTTTCGCATGATTTTCTGAGAGTGTTGGTTCTCAAACAGGTCTACTAAAAAATTCTAGTCTTTCCCGTGTTTTTCAAATATTTGCTTTTAGCTGACGATATGTGCATGCATTTATTTTTGAATTCGACGAGCTTTTTAAACAGTCATATTATCGCTTACATTTCCAAATCTATTTTATGGCATCCTCGAAAACTGAAAGAATAAATAAAAACGGAACTGGTAAATATTGAGTACATTCATAATAAGTATTAATGTTTTTCTAATGTAGATTAAATTCCACCATTATAAACCCAGCTCGTAACGAACCGCTGGTTATAATTAAAGAAACGTTTTGTAACTTACAATTTCTAACTGAACATTATACTGCTCGACAATTGCTAAGGACACTATCACCCTGTAGGGATTTATATTTGTTTTAACTAACAATTTAAAGTTTGAGTTTAAACATTTCCTGTAAGCCTTCATTCCCCTAATTGTCGGTGCCAGAATAGTTAAATGTTGTAGCGCGCGGAAGGAAATGCAAATTTTTCTACCTTGAAGAAAGCAGTATTTAAAAGCCAACATTCGGTAGGAGAAAGGGAGAGTTCGGCTTTAACCCTTTGCGGCACACCTAAAAATTTCCTTCTATACGCACAGAAAAATGGAATGAAAAAGGATTTATAGGTTACTATAGGTTACTCTGAACCTTCTTTATTTATAGTAAATGGCAGCTCAACACAAACCAGTCCATATATTTACACCATGTTTAGTTTTTTAAGACCCTCATTTTTCAAGAAGAAATCTTCCAGATTTTGTTTAGGGTATAAAAGGAAATTGTTTGAAAAGAAATTTCTATGTTATTCTTCTTGGCCTGTATGCTAATCTCCTCATTCTATAACAGTTTTAAATTTTTACCTTGAAATCTTGCCTGAAATCAAAACGGCGAACCCTAGGATTGTGCCCAGACCGAGCTTCACCGATAATCTAGGACAACTGAGAGTCTGTATTCTTTGCTTTTCACGCTTATCTCATCGGTCAGTTCATTGACAACAAAGCTCGTTTCAGCACTGTTCTCAATCAGTGCTGAAACGAGCAGCTCTACTCAATCAGAAGCTCTACTCAATCAGTGTGCCCACTTTGGGCACACCCACAGAATTAAAAGATAAGTGCTATCTTAAAAAAATTTTACTCGTGTACTCCTCTAGGCCTAATTGGACTGGCTACCTTTTTTTTTTTTTTTTTTTTCAAAACTCCGACTTTAAAGCGTAGCGTGTCGGAAAGGGTTAATCGCCACCGCTGCCGTAGCTACGTTTGCTTATTGCTATTTCAAGTGCCTTAATTGCATTGCTTTGCTGCCACTAGCGTAGAATGGAATTTAAGTTACGGGATCTCGCTGAGCCCTGTAGGTTAGGTTCTATCACTTGTTAATACAGTTCAACTTTTAATTTCAATTATCTGACTTTCAGTTACCGCCCAAGTAGCGGCGAAGTTTTGTTAGCGTCGAGTTGACGCATTGTACATTTTAAAGAGTTAATAAAGGGTACGTTAATCCTTCGCCTGTGTAGTTTCTTGCTACTCCAGTCTACAGAGAGAAGTTCATTCACTGGACTCTACAACCCATAGCGAAAAGGGATCAAACTATGAAACATTAAAATAAGTGCGGTATACAGTATGAAAAATTTATGCGTATATAAAGTTTTATTTCGTCGTCTATTCATCGCGTGTTAGAGCTGATAAAAGATTTAAGTGATCTGATGAAAACGGAACGAGTATACGAGTTACGGAAATGAGTTAATTGACAATCCTAAAAATTTTGATATGTCTTTTGGACATCACCTAAATGGTTTTACTCGTGGCCGTGTCATTGAAAATATCAAAGAAGGGCAAAAAATAACAGATATTGCCAAGGAGTTCGGCATTACTCACACTGTTGCCTCATGGCTATATAAAAGATTTAATGAACTGGAACTTGTATCCAGTGTAACTGAAATGTAACGTTAAATGTACGAAGCCTGCAAAAGGCAGGTACATTGCCTTATCGGAGAAAAGAAACCAGCTCACCAAAGTTCATTCTCTGGAGAATGAGTTTCTTACTGCCCAAGACAGCGGATCTCTCGAGAAATTGTAGCCAGGTGTTTGGGAGGAGGAAAACTATGCTTCCGCAGATCTCTTGCGTGTGTCCCATTGTACAGACAGCCCGTACCGCACGTTTACGATGGTGTCGTGAGCATTGCAAATTGGACTGAACAGGACTGAACTTGTGTGCTATTCTAAAATGACAGTAATTTCAATCAGTCATCAGACTGTAGACGCCAGCTGTTCTGATGCGAGAGTGGTACTGCTTATCGTTCAGATAACATCAAGGAAAGGTACCGATATCCGAGATGCAGTATCATGGTATAGGCCAACATCATGATCAATGGCCGCAAGCCATTACATGTGGTTACAACTGGGGAATGACCGGCCAACGATACGTTCATGAAGTTCGCTTTTTCAGGGGTACTATTGGTTATAAATTTCTTTTCATAGACGGCAACACATCATGTCGTCGAGCACTTGCTGTTCAGGATATTCTATACAGCGACTGACGTGGGTGCGTTTGGCTGATGTGACCGGGGCAAAAGGAAACAAAAATCACTTCTGTCCTGTCCTGGCCGCAATATAAAAGAGCGGCCAAATTTTTCCCTTTGTGCATGCAGTGCACTTATCGCATCGACGGGAAATGTATTCTTTAGCCCTAAATTTATTGCAATTTACTATCACGTTTTAGATATTATTATCAATGTTTAACAATACTTTTACCCGAAACATTGTGTGTGTTTTGATTAATTTCATAAATTGATTTATCTTGTTAACTTAATTGCCGTAATGTTTAAATTAGGTTGATAAATAAAACAATAAAATATTCTTCGCTTAATCCTTATTTAATATTGTTATTTAACGTTTAATTTCATCTCGAAGTCTTAAAATGTATGCACAGTTTAAAAGTTAGATTTATTCTTTGTTTTTTGATACTCCCATGCTCATTGCCATTCAATGCATACCGTAGCGTGTTCCATGCGTTCGCTTATTCTGTTCGTTAGAGGATCGGGGACTTAGTAGTAATTTCTCAAATGGTATCGTTAATCGTTTCCATAAGATGTGATAGGTTGTTAAATCTTATTAATATTTGCAGTCGACGTTGTTTTCCGTAGACAATAGTCAAAGTCATCATACCTATGCTCGGTATTTTTTACAGATGTGCAACACAGCTTCGCACCTTCCTGTTGAAAAGCTCTTTTAGTTTGCTTACACATTTTGGACCAAGCCCTTATTAATGGTCCTGTCATAAGCTGTTGAAGAATTTAGTTGAGAAAATTTTGCATCAAGAAATCGTTTTATGACTTCAGCTTTCTTCAGCGAATTCACTGTGATTTAGTCACTGGTGCAGCACTTTTATGAATACCGTAAACTACAATTTTCCTTAATGTTTTGAAACTCTTGATTAACTTTTTTATTTATGAATAAATTTATAAATAAAATGAGAAACAGGCATATATATATATATATATATAATTCTATGCGTTTTTATTTCATAGCTGCATGTAGACGAAGTGTAATATTTTAAATCTCATTTCATTTTTATTCTGTTGAGTAAAAAAATTATAGAACTATTTATATACATTCTATGTATTATTCTATGTATTATCGTTTAATAATCCAAAAATTAATAACTAATAAAATATTAAGAGAAAAATTAAACTTACCATATTCATTAGCCAAAATATAAGGTACAATACCCTGAGGCCATAGATATTCATCTTCACTTAGAGCGTTACGAACCTGAAAAATTTCGATATTCTTAATTGCAGATCAAGTACGTATGTGCGAAGCATGTATATGTTAGAATTCTAAGCTATCCAGACTACCTTGGACTGCAAAACATTTGAATATTATAAAACTTGAAACATTTGGATTGCTTCATTTCTCATAATCAAAATTCTTACTTGCTATAATGTAATTAATATAATGCAAGAGATAATTATGTAACGCAAGTTGTAATATAAAATATAATATTCAGTGATCAACAGGAAAAAAAGAAACACATTACCTTCAAGAACAAAAATTTAAACATTAAAAAAAAATCAGCAGTGCCTTTACCGGGATTAAAAACAAGGGCCTTTCGAATACGCGTTGAGTGTGCTTTCAGTTACATTACGGCTAACGGAAGGTATGCGGAAAGGAGGGAGAAAACACTGTGACGTTCAGACATACGCACCCTTCGGACTTTCAGGTGCTTAATGAGAACTATTTTTTTTTTTTTTCTCAGCGACAGAATGGACAACAGACCTTTAGAAGAAAGGTGCAGCGGACCCCCCTAGTGTGGTTTCCGGTCATAAGGGACTAATTATTCTCTTTCCAGGTTTTTAACAAAACGAGGAGAGAGCTTTGTGTAAAACTTTTGTTTAAGCAGACGCATTTTTAGCGCCGTTGCCGCGTCAACGACCTTTGTATGAATTGTGGTTAAAATGATTCAATTATTTTAATATTTATTAAAAAATTTCTCATTAAGTTTTCTAAATAAATATTTTAAAAGACAACCTGTCTTTCTTTGCACCCAACACGAGTGTTCTGACGTTACAATACCTTATATGTCGCACAAAATTATATTAATAAAAAACCTAAAAGCTTTCTGGTTTTACATTACGTCCAAAGGGGCGTTTTCTTTTAACGTTTTATGTGTTACCTTTATTTATTAAATATCATGTTCGTCGCTGTTAAACTACAAAACTCAAGTCAACAGCAGTATCACAAAATAATTTTAAAATGAGCATATCTTTAGAATTTCCGATACACAGTCTCACGCGCTGGAGATAAAAATGTTTTTTTTTTCCTTTTCCCTCCTGTACAGTGTTTCCATTGCTTGCTTTGAAATCGTTGAGTTTCCTAAACCAAAAACTCATAAATGCATTACAAATTCTGAAATAAAAAATTCCAAATTCCAAATTTGGGCTTTCAGATACCCATATTCTGGTGGAGACGTAACGTTATTCAAAATTTACCGTTGGTTTATCACAAAACAAGAACTATACATACATGTATGCATATTCTTCATTATTTAATTTCTTTAAATATAATACAGAGGGATAATATCTGTTGGCAACAATTTGAAAAGTGAGACAAAGCTTATCGTGAATGGACGCAAAATTCCAAAACGAAATTAGTAGTTCTTCTAAACAAATTGTCCCTTTGAACTAACAATTTTAACAACAAAAAATCTGAATCTGCGAAAAAAAATAAATGGGACAGTACTTTATATCTCCCGTTCTACTGGGCCGATTTTTCATGCCTCGAAAGCGCGATTTAGGATATCTATTAGATTTATATAGAGCATTTTTCTCATATAGTTATTGTGACATGAAATCAGCCGTTTTCTGAAATGACATGCCAACTGTTTTCATATTTCGATTCTACGACTAAAATTATGCCAAATTGCCAAGTTTTGTATAAATAGCACGAGTAGGTTTTAAAAAAATTAACTCTTAAAATTTTAGCTCCTCCATGTTGATTGAATTTGATATATATTTATTAATATCTCTTTTTTTATTAAAGTTACTTGATTCCTTCTTCCAGATTTCAAAATTTTGGCTTAATCTAAATATAATACGCAAATCTTGAAACATTAGCAGTTGTTTCTTTTACAATGCCATTTTAAATTGTCAGTGAGAATAATTTAAAGATGCCTTCAGTTTAATGTTAAAACGATTCTGGAAGCGTATTTGATGGGTTACTCTTTCACAATTACACTTTATAACAAAAACAAAATCAAAAGAAAACAAACAAAAAAAAAAAAAAAATCGACGCACCAAGAAGGATTGTCGGACGAAGACAAAAAATTGGTGGATAGGAAGATTAGAGAATAGAAAATGAATAAATTTCAGAAAAATTGAATGATTTATTTCAGAGTTAGATAGTTACAAAGTAGCGAGCTCAATAAGGTGCTGACCTACCTCTAGCTTGGATGCAAGCTGAGATACGAGGTGGCATAGACTGATAAAGCTCCCGGATGATCTCCTGCGGTATGCCTTGCCAAATGTGCTCCAATTGTCAGGCTAGGTCATCAACATTCCCTGGTAGATGCAGTCGCCTTCCCATCATATCCGAGACGTGCTCGATGGGAGAGAAATCTGGCTGGCCAAGGAAGTGTTTGACAATCTGTAAGACAGTTCATAGCAACATGTGCCGTATGTGGTCTGGTATTATCTTGCTGAAAAATAAGGCCAGGTTACTGCAAAAGGAACGGTAGCAAAACAGGTTTCAGACTGTCATCGACGTACCGCTGTGCAGCAAGTGTGCCTATAATGACGGCCAAAGGGGTCCTACTATCAAGGGAAATGGAACCCCAGACTACACCTAACTGAGGACCTGTGTGGTGTGCAATAGTGAGAGCAGGTTCGGCACGCTGCTATTCGCGTCTCCAGACACGTCTTCGATGAAGCACGTCTTGAGTTGTTTCTTTACATGCCATTTAAAATTGTAAGTGAGAATAATTTAAAGATGCCTTGCAGGTATGTTTAAAAACAGTCTAATGGTGAGGGAGGAATTAACCTTATAACAAAACACTCTGTCACCCGATCTGTGCGCTCTGGTCGACCACTAGGATGACGCTTAAAATTCTCAGAAATGAAAGAATATTCTAAAGCCGCATTTGATTCATATTAGAGTCTCATTTGCGCAACCGGCTCTTACCAATGTGATATTGTGTGAAGAGCTCGCTTGGCAATGTATCAAACATGCTACAGAACGTTGAACAATGGCATGCCTTCCCCAATTAGAGCAATGGGAGTGAATCCTCCCAATATATTATAAATAGGGGTATATGAAGCGTTCAGTGGATGGAATGTCACTTAAAAAGGCGTGCAAAACAGAAGAATTGCGGTTGCGCCGCCAGTGTGCTATAAATATAAGGCCCTACTAAACCAAAAATGGAATGTGGAGGTTTGAGGTCCGTTCCCTATTGCGTCTGGAGACGGAATTCTGTCGCGCGGCTATCGAATTAACTATGATCTACCCCAAAGCCAAAATAAATCTTGAGGCTTGAAAAGCTTTCACAAGTTTCTCATTGATTAGCTGATTTAATTGAGAGCTATGGGTTATTGGTTCCAAGCTCAAGGATTTCGCTCTTTGAAACTGTAACCATTTCTGCAATTTCCTCGTTCATCTGTGTTGCCTCTTATTCTACAGTTTTTTAGGCATTTCTTATGGGGTTAGGCTGTCTTGAACGAATTCGGGAAAGTCATATTTATTATCTTTTTTTGGAGTTTTTTAGCATCTCTAAAAGATGAACATTTTTTCGAAAAGATAGAGATAAAAGAAAATTGTGAGGTAAACGAAGTTGGCTTTTCATCTGGCTGCGAATTATTTGTCTACACTTACGCATAGGCTTGAAAAGCTTAGTTTAGGAGTGCCCGAACTCCTGTTAATTTAATTAAAGGGCGTTTTCTGGGCTGATAACAAAGTCTTGTTACTCCTTAATACATCTGCTGGAGGCGAGTTTGATTTTTTTTCGCACTTTCATTCATGCTCTAAACTTTAATTTGCATATTTGGTCAAAGCATCTATGCAAGGAAATTTAAAGGAATCGGATCCCCCCTTCTTGGTGCGTCGATTTTTTCACAGAGTGTATGAATTAATGTATCGCAATATTTACATATCTATAATTCGGTGATAAATTGATTAATAGGTTATGGGTGAAATCGTTTAGCTTTATGTTTTAGAAAAAGAATGCAGTATTCCTCAGGTACGAAGACCAGTTTATAGGAAGCGTTTTAGATTTATATAGAAAGCTGAGGAATGAAATTGAATAAATATGAAATACTGAGAGAGGATAATAAAATTCTTTCCCATTTTTCTGAAATCTTTAAATAATTATTGAAATCTGTATACTCATCGACATTTTTAAAGTCAGTCAGAAAAAAAATTCTTTGTGTATACTCAGTACCAAGAATACAGAATCATACTTCAGTTAATAAATTACAAGATATTATCCTTCCGAAATTCTTTACAATTTGCGATTTGCTTTAATGTGAGCCTTCATCTCACGAATAAGGAATTATAGAATAAATACTAGATATGAATGTTGATTACGCATATCAGTGTGTAAACTAATACTACTTCTCGTAATTAGATATTTCGACTTGAGAAGAATGTTGAAACAAATAAACGGAACATAATTGGGAAGTAAAGCTAATTGTTGGAATAATATCGAACATTGTAGGTTCACCACGAATGCTACGAAAATCAAATGCAATTGGGTGGAATAAAAATAGATATTATTTGTCGTTTTTAATTGAGTTTCCATGAAGAGAACAACAGTTTATGCAAGATATCCCACAAAATGGACTTAAATTTTCAAATAAAATATTTTATTATTAATAACTACAACTAATTTGGGCTAAAAAAAATATACTTAAATTAAAAAAATGAGGGTCAATTTATTTTTAAAAAATATTGCAAATAATACCAATGGTTATTGTTTCTGTTATATAACAAAAATGATACTTAGGCCAATTAAGTCAAAACAATGGTTATTTGATGTTTTTATAAGCCAACATGTTTTCTAAGGCCAATCAAGTTCAAACTATTTTACGGGGAAAATTATTTTAAAGTTCGATGACTTAAAAGAAATCATTTTTGAAGGCTTTCAAGAAAGGAATTTTTGAAAAATTTCGATGAAAATGTTCGCCGTTAAAGCGGAAAGAGAGATTCTGCAGTGGCTAGTCAGCACCTGTTCAGATGAATTCATGCGTTCAGACCAAACCCATGTAACGGCTGGTGGGGACA